CTAGTGTAATAAGGTTAGTCTATAATGAGACAAGATAGAAATCTATAAATCCTATCGAATGTCATCTTAGAAGCGAATTGTTTATATATATATATATATATATTATAATTTTATCATCTGGTCGAAAACAGTTTACCCACTACAAAAATGCAACTTCGTTTCGGTTCATTTCAAATGCACTTCGACTGGTGAGAATCAAAATGGTTATGAACAATTCCGCTTGTGGGCAAGCCGTATGTGAAGCAGCAGTTCTCTTTGTTCCATTTGTTTGAGAAAAAATATAATTGAAGCAAAAAGATGGCGGAGTGAAACAATGCTGCTTGTTGGTAACATTTTGGTGAAGGATGGGTTGGGTGTTAAATGATGGCTAATCTGGGAAGATTCCTTGCCGGTAAACGACGGTCAAAAGTTTAGGCATAGCATCTCACAAGTATCCTAAGAGTGAGGAGTGGAGGAAAAGGTGCGAATAGGAGATAGTAATACGATGGACGAGGTTGAAGGGATAAATTCTAGCGATACTTATAGTCGTAATTGGGAATGTTTTGTTTTTTTTGTTTTTGTTTTTGGTTTACTATAAAAGAACAATCTAAAGCTGAATTGCATATATTTATGTTGGATTTATCACTACTAATTCTGTAATCAATGAAAGTGTTTTGTAAATTAATAAATTTAGGAATGGTGATTTCTTCTTGGTATGTTGAATATATAAGTTATTCGGGTTTAAAAAAAGAGGTTTCGATTTGGAAAGTAAATATAAGTAGAAAAATATTTATAAAAAATATTGGATATTAATTTAGCTTTTATAATCTAATTTTGACCTTTTGTCAAACAGTATAACGTGTACAATAAGTATGGGTGTAAAACAATTTATCTGAAAGTATCACTAGTAATATATGTGCAAAAAATAGATTTTAAGTATCATAATCTAAGATAAATTAATGGAAAGGTACATAAGAGAGTGGGAAGCATATCAAAAGAGACGAGTTATAATTTTAAACGTTTAGAGTTATGGAATTAAGAATTTAGCAAGATTGTAATGTTAAATCCGTAATATGTCTACAAAAAAACGGTCGTTTCATATTTCTGGTTTAATAATTGGGTGTTTCAAAAGTCTTTTTGCTTCATCTATATTTTTTTCTCAAACAAATGGAAAAAGTGACGTTTTACAAACGGCTTTCCCACAAGCAGAATTTTTCCTAATCATTTTTGGTTCTCTCCCGTCGAGGTGCAATTGAATTGAGTGCAAATTTTTTTCTGTATGATAAAATTGTAATAAATAGTCATCGCTCTACTATCGGCATCGAGCCTACTTTTTTTGATTAATGCTGTGAACGTTAGAATTTATATATTACTTTCGTTCTCATTGGATCGGATATATATATATATATATATATATATATATATATATATATATATATATATATATATATATATATATATATATGCAATTTTATGTATATTATTTATATATTATATATGCGCGCTATTTCTTGGAAAGCGCTCAATATCAGTGATAGAGCTAAGCCGTATGACGAAGCACTAAAAACGAGGATACACTCAACAACTACAATACACACCTCCACAACCAAAACACAAAAACAGATTAAAAAATGATCTGGTTCAACCCACTATACAACAAGACCGTCAACACCAACATAGGAAGGACATTCTTAAATTTAATACAAAAGCTCTGCCCTAAAACAAACCGATTAGCAAAAATATTCAGCAAATATAACATTAAAATCCGCTACAGCTGCACAAAAGATATAACACAAATAATAAAAAGCTACAACAAAAAAGTAACAACCTGCAATGATGCAACCAAGGATCCTCAATGCAACTGCAGAAATAAAACAACATATCCATTCCAAGAAAACTGCCAACGAACGACTATAATATATAGAGCCAAGTCAAGCGAAAACAGCACAATATACTGCATCGGGGCCACTGAGGGACCATTCAAGAAAAGAAAAAATACACGACTTTTCATTCTCTGACAGAAAATATTCAAGCAGGACTACACTACACATACATATGGCCCTCCAAGAATATGCCGAAAAATATGGAAAAACGCACCTGCATACAACATTACAAAGAAATGCCTACTTTGCCTACGCGAAAAGGTAGCAATAATTTCCGATACCCAACAAAAGAAATTACTAAACATAAGATCAGAAATAATTTCCAAATGCAGATATGAAAACAAATACCTATCACAATTTATGCCAAACGGATGAAAAAAATGCCAACCATTACTACCGCATCATAATTACCATTGCCGCATTAGTCCACAATTACTACCACACCACAATTTACATTACCGTATTAGTCTACAATTATGCTTACTCCCCGCAGAAAATTAATACAACCGCATAAATATTAATAAGCATTATAAGTTGTAGTTTCTACCATTTACATAAGCTCAATCGCCAAAAACAAGCAAATAACCGGCTTTAAAATAATAACAAAACAGTATTAAAAAAGAAAGTAAACAGACGAATAGAAGATGTGTGGACGCATGTGTATACGTATATACGTGTGTACGAGAAAACATTATTCGGCGAACAAAATAAACGAACGGTCTGCGCGTTGACATCACAACTGACGAAAGATGTTCGCTAAATAACTCCACATTGAATTAGCGACCAAATGCGTACGTATGTACGCAACGACACATGTATGCGCATATATGCCCAGTTCCACACTATTCACATATGTTTGTTTGTGTGAGCTCCAGTGAGTGCGCGTGCTTGTATGTATGTCTGCGTACGTCAATGAGTGAACGTGCGAGTATGTATGTTTGTGTAAGTATGAGTGACGTTCCGGCGATAATTTTCCCTCCCACTACCATAAAAACACCGATATACGCAAACATATATAAATCCAAAATTTAAAAAGTAATCATTTTGTCAGATGATCTCAAATAGCGTGAAACCCAAGCTCTCAAACTCACACCAATCTTACCATATATATATATATATATATATATATATATATATATAGTTTTAAGGTATGCAATATTTATGGGTTAACGTGTTCAATATCAGAGATAGAGCGTATGTAAATATAAAAGTGAACATTGAAATTTGCTAAACGCAATCGTCAGGTCATGAAACAGACCTCCGACTCTGGGTGTTGAATTCAATTTCCACTGATATATATATATATATATATATATATATATATATATATATATATATATATATGTAAAGGTCTCTTTCCGTGTCGGTTGGCGGCTAGTACCACGAGAATGGCGTGGTTTTCCATTTCCTGTATCATCTTTAGTTTTCTGCGTTCACGTCCGCAGTAACACTGAAAGACAAGAATAAATTTATTCTCGTATTAGCATTTTAGACTAAGCTTTCTAGCCTTGGGTGGAAGCCGGTCTAGAACGTCATAAGAAATTCCACCATTCCTCTCTTCTCAACGTATTCATGGCATTTTAGAAATAATGAAGAAAAGGTATTTGTGTAGGAGTATATACAGCCACTTGTAACGTTTTGCGATTTGCAAATCGAAAGCGGCTAACCCTATACGAATTCCAGGATAAATACCCTTATGAATGGTATGCTTTTCTCAACTTTGGATTAAAAAGCAATGTTAACTATGCTCTCCAAAGTAGTTTAGGTGATGCAACACATCAAAACAATTCTTAAGAAGGGTGGGTTTTTAGACACACTAATGTTGTTATGGCTGAAGTATGATCGTAATGTGATTTCTGGACAGGCATAGGATATTTTAAAGTCAAATAAAAACTGACATGTAAATTCTTTTGATATATCAAAATTTGGTGCATTCCATTTTAAAGTGCATAAAGTTGTCTTTTATTTATATCTAACTGAAAATGTGTTCTCAAATACCTACCACACGTTATATCCTGATCGTTCATTTGGGTCCAAATTATACTCTTTCTCAGATTGTAGTTTCTTTCCTGGTTGAAATTCCACCGCAATTCTTACTCTGGGTAATATTTCTATTTTCACATTTAAAATTCCTCACAAAGGAAGCAAGTGATTTCCGTTTTAGAATCAATGATCAAGAAGACGAAAAATTATCCAGACACCTCAAAATTCGAATGTATTGTATTTTAATGGATTCATTGTACTTATTTTGATGGGAAAGCAACAAACCCTGGGGATATTTTGAACTATTACTAAAGCGTAATGAGGATTACAGACACAGAAGCCATGCATGTTACCAGATTTAGATGAAGCATTTTTGGTAGGCTTCTACTTACTTTTCTTTTCAGCAGAAAACGTGTGCATTATATTGGCTTGTGCAAATATTAACTCTGCAATATTCCTTAAGAACGTTTATCATTGCAGAAAATAAATTCGACGGACCGAATGCAGTCTTTTGTAGCCAACTAATACCATTAAGAAAGACATGAATCCATCTGTTCTGTCTACCAGTTATATGTTAAAGAGAAAAGCAGACAGCGCTCTGCAACTTTGCATCGCAGATATTCTAAGAAAAGAACTACTCTGAGTTCGAAGTTCTGGAAACAGCAACAGGAATCCACGCCATTATATTCTCGATGTGATACAAATGTACATAATATGAAAGGAAGTATGTGGAGAGCCATGATCTGAAGTGATTTGTTATTAAAAATATTTCTAGGAGAATTTACTCCAGTCACAATAAACGTTGGCGGTTCCTTACTTAAATGTCTACTGGAGTTCTAGCTCAATCTAGATTTCAAGTGGAACTCGTATATACGATCAATTGCTAAAGAACAATGTTCAGTTCCTGATTCCACCTTTTCTATCTTAAAATAATTGATCAGTCCCAATAGAGACGATGAAACTAGAGATGCCCAAGTCAAAAAATATTCTCTTTGTAAGAATTTTTTTGGGAGATAACCAATGGTTTAGGGATAGAAGTCTTACTAATTAATCCATAACTGGGGAGAAAATGCGGATTCGTGCCTTTCCGTGACTATCTGCGCGTTAGCGAATATAACCAACCTGATTAAGAATTCCGAGAACGCACATGCAAGTTTACAGCATCTGGTATTCCCAAACGGTCACCCATTTAGATACTGACTAGGCTCGATGTTGCTTAACTTCGATGATTGTACGGAAACCGATGTTTCAACGTAATGTCGCCATAGCCTGGTGGAGAGAAGAGATGCTTTTTCCAAAGTTATTGATGCAAAAGACTAGGTTGGAATTTGAATTCATTGCCTGGATTTTATTTTCCGCAGTGAAAATTATTATTATATCCACATCATATTTAATCCAACAACCCCTTCTCCACAAACGAAACTTTGCTAGCCTCTCGCTAGTATATCGCTATTGTCTCAAATGAGGTACAGGTTTTAGTTTCCTCAAATCTGACAAGACTTTCACTCCTAGGACACGTCATGCCACTTCCGCGGCAGTCGACCCAGTACTTTCTGAGCGACTGTTCGGTTAAACTCTCTTCCTACGGACGGGAGGAACCCGAAGGGGGCTACGCCGAAGTGCGGAGTCTCCTTAAGGGGGGATGTAGACCGGCCCTGAACCCGTTTATACGGGTTCAATGGGCATATTTTTGGCCGAGCCCACGGGCTCGGAATGCCCACGTTAAAAAGGCCTTGTGCCACATGACACCCTCGTGGCGGGGGGTGACTGAATATCGTCATGCCACTTCCACGGTCTCGATCCATTCTTGTTCCCTTTATATGCCATTTGCAAGGAAGAAGTTCCGTTCAAACAGGTTTTTGTCCCCAGAACTGTTATTTTGGGGAACAGACATCCGGTAGAATGTTTCCTTATTCACTAGAAGCCATGAAAGAGTTTAAAAAATATTTTACGTTTTGTTTTAAGTGATGGTTTATCTTGCCCTATAGAGTTTTTTTTTTCAGAGTTACAACGTGACAAGATTGTCGCTATTGTTATAAAATGCTCTTCATATTTCCTTCTTTTACGCCCTTGCAACAATTTCATTCAATAACCCTCTAACCTGAGGTTCTTGATATTGTATTGAATGAAAAATGGTATAAAATGAAGAATAAGTTAGAACATACAGATAGGAGGAAAGTGGAATGGAAACAAAAGTGATTTTGAGGTGAAATCAGAAACGCAGTCTGTTTAGAATGCTCACGTGACTTTAGTGAAATCTCTTGACATATTGTCGCTTCCTGCTAAGAAAGCAACATATGTTCTGTTTCAGCTCGAAAAAAAAATTAAACAGAGATATCCACACAAAACAAGTAAAGATTAACACAGTTGATCACCAACTCATTTTTGATGTGATGGCTACACGGAAGTTAGAAACTGAAAACAGATTTTCCGACATAATCTTGTGACAGATGTTTCGTTCGAACTGTGAATATATATTATGCTTAAACATCCCTCATATAGATTAAACCAGTTTCTCAAGCATTTATAATTGCCAACATTCATTTCATATTATATGTTTATATACAGTTTAACAGGGAAAAAAGTTAAAAGTAAAATGGACAAATTTATAAATTTTCTCTTCTATGGTAGAAAATGTCAGACATGAGATAATATTATACATGAAGGAGATTTCAGTCTTTCGTACTATTTATTATAGCTACTTGGAGAACAACATTAGATGAACAGATATGCAGACGACTGTGTTGAGAGCAGACACAGAAAGGAAATTACAGGAACTTCTACAGATGGAAGGAAGGCAAGAAGAAAGGACTAAACATCAATTATAAGAAAATTGATTGCTCGTAAAAAGAAGAACCCAACATGCGAATTACAAAATGGTGATACCAAAATGAAGCAAGTAAAGCATTTTAAATATCTAATAAGTGTTTTAACGGAGTACAGAAGTGCGGCACTGATATCCGAAGGCGCGTTGGGAAGGAGAAAGATGCCTTCCAGAAGTTAAGCAAAGTATTAAGAAACAGGAAAATCATAGTAAAACAAAAGTAAGCTTACTTAACTGTTATGTAATAACGGTTTTTCTATCAGGCGGTGAATGAAGACAATCGTCTTACGGGTGAAGAAGACATTTGAGGTAACAGAAATATGGTTCTACAGAATGATGCTGAGAATACCATGGAGTGAACAGGTGAACAATGACGAAGTTTTAGAGAAAATGAAAACAAAAAGGACACTTATACGCAACATCAGAAAGAGTCGGTTAAAATCTCTGGGAATATAATGAGGAAAGAGGGCTCGGAAAATTTGATACTCCCAGGACAGATTTAGGCAAGGGGACAGAGGAAAACAATGCATAACTTACCTAACGAGCTAGCGTAAATGGTTTGCAGTACAGCGATTAGGAGAGATATCGAAAAGATAGAATTTCTTAAGAGCTACAAAAGACAGGAAATCGTGGAGAGCCATGATCGCCCACGCCATGAAGCAGCACGTCATATAGAAGAAGTGGGAGAAAAGATGTATTCCCAATGGCATTGGTGTAAAATGAAAGCATTGAAATCTTTGACAGATTTCAAAATCGTTTACGCTGTCTTAATGACAATCATATATTTTGAACGCATAAATTCCCCCCTCCACCAGTTATAACATTGCAAGCATAGTGCTACTTTATCACTATTCCCGTGAGAAATATTCAGATTAACTCCATTTTTTTAATTCCACCAGTTGAGACCTTTACGGCGAGGAGACGGCAGCCTACATCCACGTAGTTTAATCACCGACATTTCCTTTGTATTCCATTTGTAAGTAGGAAGTTCCACTTAGCTTTTTCTCAGATTTCTTTTTGCTCACATGTTCCATCCAAGGTATTCTCAGCATCCTTTTATAGAAGAATGTTTGTGTTGTCAAATATCATTTTCTCATTGGTGGATGGCTATTACACAGCCGTTCACTACTAGTTTTGTTGGTGAACGTATTACTGAAGGGAAGAGGAAGCGTTGAATTTGTATTGACCAATCGTTTTTAGCATAGAATAGAGCTGAATCTCAGTATTGAGAAGGCAAGCTAGGTACAAATAATATGGTGGACTATAACATGAAGACCTATTTCCGCGGTATGCGAAAAATTTTATTCCCATTTCCATTTCAGACGTGTCAAGCAAATTAATAAGTTAACTGACACTAAATGTCAGCATTTCCAGTTTTTAATACGTTGTCACTTCAGACTGTATTAGATTATGTCTCTCCACATCATCCTTTTCATATTAAGCTAATATCGATGATTTCTTGGAAAAATAGTGAAGTGCTTTACACTTGTCTTTTCTAGTGTTTTAAATTCAGTGTAGACTTTTCTCAGACTAACTGATACGCAAGGTTGGAGAGTACAGTCTAATCTTCTCTTTAACCAATGCGGAGTAAATTCATATTTTACTGGTTATCAACCCTTTTCAGGTTATTTAAAGTCAGAAATTTCTTTACGTTGTAAGAAATTTTTGGAGATAATAATGGTTTAGTGATACAAGTCTTACTAATTAACCCATAACTGGGGAAGAAAAGGTGGGTTCATGCCTTTTCCAAGACTATCTGCGCGTTAGTGAATATAAGAAATCTGATTAACAATTCCGAGAACGCACATGCAAACTTGCCACATCTGGTATTCCTAAACAGTCAGCCATCTAAATACTGACCAGGCTCGAGGTTATTTAACTCCGATGATCGTACGGGAAGCAGTGTTTCATGGTAATGCCGCCATAACCTGGTGGAGAGAAGAGGTGCTTTTCCTAATGATGTTAATGCAAAAAATGAATGTAAAAGACTAGTTTCGAATTTGAATTCGTCTCCTTGATTTTATGTTCCGTACTGAAAATTATTACTATATCCTCATATTAATTGGGAATATTACGGGATTAATAGCCTCACTGGCAAAAGGATACATTTTTCTCTTGGAATAGGAGTACCATCTTCCAACCTGACACAGGAAATGAGAAGTTACCTCGTTCTCCCGGAAAGAGTCTCACACCACAGCGACTTGTGGATAGGTAATTGTTATGGGATCTTACCCATAATAATAATAATGGACTATTCCATACTTAATAAATACTGCGCTTCAGGAGTAGGCAAGGAGTCAGTGAGTTAGTAGTTCAAGTGAGTGAGTAGTTCAAGTCGAGTCAAGAGTTGAGTCAGAGGCAGTCCGAAACAGAGTCGCGTTCAGACAATTATTGCAAGACATTGGAATAGTGATATTAGTCGAGACTACATTGTTCTTTCTACTAAACCTGATTGTTCATACTAACACTTCTACTTCTCTGTATATATTCCTGTTTGTAATATATCTGCGTTATTCCATGCCTGTGTTTGAGTTCTTCTTTATTGGTTCTACCTTGGACTATCACCGTGGTACAAGGAACCGGACCATAATAGTAACTTTGCCAGGTCTTTCATGTTCAAGGTTATGAAAGTGATGGATGGTCTTTGACGGCGTTGTGTCATTCAGAATCAAGAGAAAGAAAAATTCTATGCGATCAGATATCCTAATGACAACAGACTTCTTATTGATGATCGGAGTCGGGTAGCGAACGGGTGTTATTAAAGACGCAAAGCAGTCCGCGGGTCGCGTGCTGATATGACAGTTGAAGAAACTCACATCCGGGTTTCCCCTGTTAGCAGCAGAACAGTTTGGCCTATCCAGATATGGGCCTCTCTGCAATTTGTCCAGATCGAGTTTTTTTCAACCGTCTCATGTCAGTAAAAGCTTTTGAGGAGACTCGCTTTGGTATCGTCAGAAGTTCGGTGACGTCACCTTGGTGCATTTTGTTCCGGAAGTTACGTACCGCCCGCTGTGCTGTTGTTTTTGAGGAATTGGCCTCACTCGTCCTTATTTATTTATTTTTTTAATCGCTTCCTGTCTCTGCATGCACCTCCTTGATTCTTAAGAGAACAATTTATTACCGTTTACGTGTTTCCCCCAACCTCATCACACCCTTGCCTTATTTTTCTACAGGTCGTTATCTAATCCGGCTACATCTAGTCGATGAGCAAAATCTCTTTGTGTACAACAAATACCTAACATCTGTTGATTCCGGCAGGAATTTGCTTCCACGACCGCATCGGGGTCCATTCTCGATGATGAAAGACGTTTTTATTGATTTCTATTTTTTCCTGTTTACCTAAGTTCTGTAAAGCTAAGTGTACATTTAAAAGGGGAAAAAATTTCCGATAGAATAATCTTCTTCTTTTTGTAGCTTCTCTTTAGGGTTTAAATCTCTTTGAAGATCGTAAAATGGGATATAATGCTAAAATAGCAAGGAATATTACCACGGTTAAAATGTAATTAACCAATCACGATGCTCATCAGAAGACATTTAAAAATTACTGACTGCTTGCAGATAACTTGAGTGCTAACTAAATGTAGTACGGATTTTTTTCTGGTACTATTTTTGATCAGTTTTCTTTTATAAATTATAGTCAGGCATTGAATTAACTGCCAAACGTGATGTACATTTGGGCGATCATGTTTCTCTCGATTCATGACTTACTAGACAGAAGATTTTCCTGAAGTCGGTTGCCGTTTTTTTCATGCAGTAGACTGCTTGTCAACCAAAGCTATAGGACCCAGTTTATCTTGTTAATGAAACCATATCTGGGGTGATAAAAGATGGATTCATACCTTTCCCAGGGGTATTTGCACGTAATTGAATGTAATGAACCCGACTGGAATTCGAACACGGCACTGCCGATTTTTAATTCCTATTCGATATCCATTACATCACAAAGTACAAAACGCATAAACTCTTTCAAAAGGAAATGACTTCTGATATTTTTTGAGTAAAGAGTTCCATAATCATTTCCATCGTAATAGAATTAATTGTGAATCTGTGGGTAGTAAGGTTATTTTGAGAATGAAAATAGGAGAGAGTGTTGCGTTCGGTGGGATGTGCGTCTGGTGTAATGGTTAATGAATTAGAAAATTAAATTTTCAAGAGGAGTTCAAATTCACTAAGAGAAAGATAACTTCTTCTTCTTCTTCTTCTTCTTCTTCTTGTCGTACGCCTAGAGGGTGTGGAGATCCAGTCACTTCAAAATTTCCTATCCCTTGTAGCTTTTAGTAACATTTGACTTGTCATGTCTACCACATCCGTTCGGCCATCAATTTGCCAAAGTTTTTCATGTAAGCGACCCGATTTTCCTTTTCTCTTTTTAACTTCAGTAGGTCTTGTGAGTGAAAAATTCTCCAAGACTTCCTTTCCATATTATGTGTCAAAGAAATTTCAGCAGTATCTTCCTGATTCTGGGTAGAAGTATCCTTTTTATTTCTATTTTCCTTAAATCATCCTCGTTGCTTACGTTCTCCGTTCATGGTATTCTCAGCATCCTTCTGTAGAACCACATTTCTGTTGTTCCCCTTTTTTTCTTCATCTGTGATTAAATTTACCATCACTCACTTCTATACAGGAGGATTGGTATTACATAGGGTTTAGGCACTTTTCTTTGTTTGCAACGAAATTTTCCCGTTTCTTAATACTTTACTTAGGTTTACAATGCTTCTTTTGTTATTCCAATTTGATATTCAGATTTCGGTGCCATAATTTCTATCGTCTCTTGAAACATGTTGTGGCCAAGTAAATGGTTAAATAATAACAAAAACCAGGTTTGCAGATATATCGTATTAAACAGTAAGTACACCAGAAGAGTATTGCATGACTACTGAGAGTGTATCGAATGAACCACCGCTCCATTCACTGTTCACGGTTTCCCGAAGCCTTCTGTCCTACTTATCTTATAGTAGGCGGAAGAGTCTAATATAGACTCTTTTGAGGGAGGACACCACAACAAAACACTTCGCAGATATTTAAGAAGGATACCATTGAATTCATAGCCGTGGCGCCGACATTAGAAACCACTGATATCTTTCGAAAATACCAGACAAGTAAAATGCGTTCAGTTTTACGCTAATGTCTTTGGGAAATATATGAATCCATCTATCTTGTTTCAGGTAGGGAGTTAAATAGCAGAGTAAACTGAGTTGTGTAGCCTTGCTTGGCAGTCAGTCAACAAGAAGAATTACACTGAATTCAAAGAAAGCCCGAGGAAATGTCGAGAAATCACTCCACTCTCGTTCCTAAGTAGTTAAAACAATCGACGGATTTTAAAGAAACGGAAGCCATGGAGGTCCATGACTGACTACGTCCTGAAGAGGCATGGAATTTAAAATCAATTTGGGGTCATGATATTTTAAATATGAAAAGCTATGCTGTCCTGAGAAAAAGAAACATCGTTTAGATACGAATCATTAATGGTCCCGTGTGTAGTAAGGGATGCGATCACATTGAAATCTCTGTATCTGTAAGAATAGTAGCAATTGCTTCTTTTCTCCAGATCCACTTCATGTATATAAAGTATCGATATATTGATAAATATTTTAAAATCCCAAATATACGAGACAAGCTTTAAAGAACACGCTGCTATTCGTATCTTCAAATCGCTCTTTTCAGAAGCAAATTGCGTTCTCACAAAAGAAAAAAAATAGTCGTACGACCAAGTCACTAATTTTGAATATTAATAGTTGGATATCTAGAAGAAATCACGATTTGAAGTTATCTTTGCCAAACAAGCACTCAATTAATTTCGTGTCCAACTAGAAAAAAACGGAAACAAAGACGTGTTGTGTGTATTCATTTATTTATCGAGCTAAAGACACTGATTGAAATGCGTCTCAGATTGAGTCACGAGAAAGAACGAAACATGAATCAGGAACAAGAAACATATTATCTATTTGAACTTTTAAGCTAATTTACTTTGCATTTAACAAACTTAGCAAACACATGCATCTATCTATCTATCTATCTATCTATCTATCTATCCCAGCCTTTTTATACCTATCTCTCAGCCATTTCCTGTCTATCTCTTTCTCTCTCTGTATCTGTATATATATATATATATATATATATATATATATATATATATAAGACATTTTTATGTTTATACATTCTTTTTATAGATACAAATATTTAAGTAAATAAACTGTTTATAATAAACAGTATTAAACAATATTTACCGGCCTGAATTGTCCGAGAAATTTTCATAGAAAATATTCGTCCTCCGACAGGATTCGAACCTGTATCCTATACGGAACCGTCATTTAACCTGACGTGCTCTTCACTGATCGAGGCACAGAGAATCGTTTTATTAGCAAGGTCGAATTTCCTACCTTTAAACGTCAATCTTCCATGATTCTCTCACGGACATAACCGTTCATGCCGTATCCAAATATAAACAAATGACGTCACACATTATGAAATGGTACAGTACGACAATTATTTTTAAGACATTTTTATGTTTCGGGCCGGTAAATGTTGTTTAATACTGTTTATACAGTTAAATACATGCTCTATTTACAATAAACAGTAGTAACTACATTTACTAACTGAATGTCCGAGGAATTTCATAGAAAATATGTGTCATCCGACAGGAATGGAACCTGTCTCCTACACGGAACCGTCATTTGGCCTGATGTGCTATACTATTTAGTAACAGAGAATGTGTCTGTTTAACAAAGTCAAATCACTTCCTCTGTGGATAAATGGTATAGCACGACAGGCTATATGATGGCTCCATGTAAGATATATGTTCGATTCTCGTTTGAGGACTCATATTTTCTATGAAAATCATCGGATATTCAGGCTGGTAAATGTTGTTAATACTGTTTATTGCAAACAGAGCATTTACTTAAATTATATTTATGTAAAAAAAGTAACGTATACCCCGAAAATACATTAAAATAAATGTCGGGCAGATTAATTGTCCGCTAACAGATTAAAAATGGGATAAACTGACTGACCACTCGCTAAACGACACAATCCTTGGTTTTATTAATTGTAAAATGGTTTAGATGTTTGGTCCATATTGTAAGTACTTTCGATAAAACATTTACCATCCTCAGGCATAGATTTTATTTTTTTCTCAGTTTTTACAATTAATAAAAATAAGGATCGTGTGGCTCAGCGAGTAGTCAGTGAGTTAATCCCTTATTTAATCTGTTAGCGAAGTGAATTCGCCATTAAGTAGAATAAATTCATTGATTTATTCCTTGAATTACTACAATATTAATTATGCTGCATTTCATATTTAAATATACCACAAATGTTAAGAAACCGTAAAAAAACAAATCAGTCATCATATGTATGTGTCTATCTGTGTATTATATGCTTGAGGTTTATAATGCACATGGTGGGTCATACGTTCCACATACTGAAGTACTCTCAAAAGCAAATCTTCAATCAATCAAACGAATGGTCAACTGATCTGTTGGACATTTATTTCTCATGGATGATAACCGCATGCAACTTTTCTGTAGTGAGGCAGTATTTGAGAGACCCAGATATAAACAGAAGAAACGCTATGAAACTTGAGTAAAAAAATACTTTGAATAAGACAGGAGTTTTTTTTGTTTTTTTGTTTTGTTTTTTTCTTTGTGAAAATTGGGAAAAAGAAGTTAAGGACGGAGCACTACGGAGAAATATAATCAGTAATGCGGTAACTGAATAAGATAAAAGGCGATCAACATGTACAAGAGAAACAAGCAGCAAGAAAAGGGGATGATCTGGACTAAATCGCTGCAACAAATCACAGGGTTCTAATCATGTGAAATATTTGTGATTGCATTCGATTTTCAAAATGGCGTCATTTTGGTATATGATATCACTAAACAAATCTCGCCAGATCTCGTTCCTCTTTTGCAACCAATTTCTCGTTATATCCCTTCTTTACAGTCGGACTTCCGTCTTTTTACGACCATCATTTTAATTTACCCCACATACACTACACGCATATGTATATATCCAAATCTACAAATCAACCATTCTCCGTTGCATGGAATATTGCTGCCATATATGGTCTGGTGCCCTCGATGTTAGCATTAAGGACCTCGACAAGATCCAGAGACGATTGCGTTTAGCATAACACTGACTGTCTCTTCTGGGCGTTGACTTTAGTGTACACTTTCATATATATATATATATATATATATATATATATATATATATTACAATAAACGTGCAATCAATTTACAAATACATGAATTATTCACACAAAACTAATGCAAAAGGTTAATGATTTAAATGGCGAGACATTCATCTCGCAAACAATTCAAATAGTACACAAAAACCTCCAGATCCGTTATGAATGAATTGATCCTTGTTTATATAAATTTCTGCCTCAATAAATAAATAACTAATACGGCAGAAATTTTATAAACAAGGATCAATTCATTCATAACGGATCTGGAGGTTTTGTGTACTATTTGAATTGTTTATGAGATGGATGTCTCTGCCATTTAAATCATTAACCTTTGCATTAGTTTTGTGTGAATATATGTATATATATATATATATATATATATATATGTGTGTGTGTGTAAATATATATATATATATATATATATATATATATATCTGTTATATATCTCTTTATATATATATATATATATATATATATATATATTTCGATAAACGTGCAATCAATTTACAAATTCATGAATTATTCACACAAAAACAAATGCAAAGGTTAATGATTTAATTGTCGAGAAATCCATCGTCGCAAACAATTCAAATAATATACAAAAACCTCCGAATCCGTTATGAATGAAAAGATACTTGTTTCTATAAATTCCTGCCGCATTAGTTCTTATTTTTACTACAAACTTTCGTCTGTTGCTACAGACATCTTCAGGTATGGAATAGATGTTGTTCTTGTTTTTTCTCTTAGGAGGTTTTTGTATATTATTTGAATTGTTTGCGACGATGGATTTCTCGCCAATTAAATCATTAACCTTTGCATTTGTTTTTGTGTGAATAATTCATGAATATATATATATATATATATCATAATTGATACAACAATAGTTAATAAAAATGAACACGCCACCGCCCCTGTCTGAATGTTTCGATTTCCCTGTATCCTTGGAAATAGTAAATTATGAATTTATATGTGCATTTAAAACTCAGTAAATTTAAAATTATTCCAATATTCGGTTGAAGATGAAACGGAACTAATGCTTTTAATTTAATTATATAATTAAATTTAAAGTTTTTAGCTTCCGTTTTTGAAACATGGTTATTACTGTGTAGCGAAAAACATTTTCAATCAGTCAATTTATAATATTTATACACTGTAAATTTATTGTTTTGTAAAAATAAAAATAAAAAAAATATCAATAAGAACACTGGATTATATAACTTACTGTTCTTTCTTTATATATATGTATACATATATATATATATATGCTTAGGATTAATTCTTTTCTTAATATTGAGCTCTTTATTTATAAAAACAGCTTGTTTAAAGGTGTTATCCTCCAGAATTGTAATGTCCGGTCTTTTTTTTTTCCTTTTTTTTTTTCTGTTTTTGCGAAATATAATCTTTGCTCTTTGTATTATACTAAGACGTATGCAAATAAAAAAGAAACATTTTACATCGTCAACGTAAAATCCGTAAAAACATGTGAAAAATAAGAAATACCATGAATGTTTGAATGTAAACAGACTAATCTAAGACTGATCTAAAATGAATTACAGCAGCTATATCAAAATGGCGCTGGATGTTACACAAATAACTTGGTCAAAAAAAGAACTTATACCTTATAAACATCCATAACGAAACTTTAAATTTTACTGAATAATGTTACGACAAGCGACCAACAATAAAATCTAAAATATTACAATAATGATGATATTTGGGTACTCAATATATTCCATAATATTTCCTGTATATCTTTGTTTCGAATTTTGGCAATTACTATAAAAGTTAGTTTATATGTCCCGACGAAAACATTGTTTTGCTAAATTGAACATTGAGATCGGCAATTAAAAATAAATAACATGGAGTCTCTGCAAGTGAAATTTTGAATGGTAAGCAAGGACTTTAGTGTTCAAATTTGCATTGTCTGTGTTTTCATTTACTTTATTCTGTTATATATTATAATTTTATTAGTATTACACTTTTGGTACTAGTTTTCGTTAGTCTATTGGGATTACTGCTAATCCCAGTTATGATACGTTACCTGTTTTGTGCTTAGAATGCACCATATTGTCTGGCTATTTTCGTGTAATTTTGACCCGGTTGTCCTTATCATTAATTAAACCTCGAAATCATTCATTGAATATTGGAAAAAGAAACGGAATTTTCTGAATTATTTAAATGTTTATGAAAAGAATGAATATAAAATAGTTACAAAGATACAAAAATTCAATGTGGCCAGGTATTTAACTCACATCTCTTTGGGTCTAGTTACTGGATCAAACCAACGTCTTCACCCACTGGGCCATGTGCCTTCAGTGTCACAACGGTCCAGTGGATAAAGCCACAGCAGTCGTGAAACAAAACTTGGAGAGTTGAGATAAAGGAAAATTACTGAGACATCTGGAAGAGGCATGGTATATGGAACTAGAATAATCTACCTCGCTGGACGAAATAAAGGGTTCGATTCGAAATTCCAATCACCTGAAGAAGGCCGGATCATACTACAACCCAAACGTTGTGAATATGGAAGTGAAGATGAAGCTAACAGTCCGAATAATTTAAATAATGCAAGTAACCAAACTTTTCGCCTAATTTATCAGAACAATTATTTGCTCACATATTTTATTTGATCATATTAACCAGGGTTAAAAATTAAATCTTTTAAGACAAAATCCGAAATGACAAATTATACTCTAAATTTTATTACAACTTTCTACAAAGAGAGGTTTATTACAGCTTTCTACAAAGAGAGGTTTATTACAACTTTCTACAAAGAGAGGTTTATTACAGCTTTCTACAAAGAGAGGTTTATTACAACTTTCTACAAAGAGAGGTTTATTACAGCTTTCTACAAAGAGAGGTTTATTACAGCTTTCTACAAAGAGAGGTTTATTACACCTTTCTACAAAGAGAGGTTTATTACACCTTTCTACAAAGAGAGGTTTATTACACCTTTCTACAAAGAGAGGTTTATTACAGCTTTCTACAAAGAGGTTTATTACAGCTTTCTACAAAGAGAGGTTTATTACAACTTTCTACAAAGAGAGGTTTATTACAACTTTCTACAAAGAGGTTTATTACACCTTTCTAAAAAGAGAGGTTTATTACACCTTTCTACAAAGAGAGGTTTATGCAGAGCGCCATTAATTCTGGTGGAGAAACTGACCCAATTTCATATGCAAAAATAATTAATTATTAAATATGAAATATTTCTAAAAAAATAATATTTTCAAACATTAATTTGTAGAAATACTTAATAGACAAATTAATAATCGATTTCACTGTTGATCATAGGTTTGATTTCATGACAAATTTTATACATTGAATATAATTATTGTATTATTATACAGCATCTGTCCAATAATAATAGTCACATTTGCATATATCATTCAAACACTGAATGTACAAACTATTATGGGATATATGGTCTGGAACCCCCGCTGTTCGTCTTAAGGTCCTCGACAAAATCTAGAGACAGATAAGCAATGCTATATGCCCTGATCTGGCATCTCGTCTGCAGTCGCTCTCTCACAGACGTGCCGTCGCTTCCCTCTGTCTTTTCTACAATTTTTTTTTCACGGTAACTGCTCCGACGAGCTACTTTCGCTGGTCCCAAAACTACATTAATTCCAACGTGCTACTAGGTTGGCATCTCAGTCCCACCCTTTCACTGTCGATACGGTTAAAGGTAGCCGTCTCTTCTACTCCAGTAGCTTCATGTCTCGCACTTCCCGTCTGTGGAACTCCCTTCCTCTTATTTGCTTCCCTAATAGCTTTAATCTCCAACTATTCAAATGCAATGTCAACCGACATCTCTAGATGCCTTGATCTATTCCCTGTCTCTTAATCCTTTCCTCTATCACGCCCTTTTACTCTTGCTCTCACTCTCTGAAACCCCTTGAGTGCTAGAGGCACTCCCGCCTTGCCTGGGGTGAAAAGCTTAAAAAAGGAGGGCATATTATTATTATTATTATAGAAATACTGTTGTTATATGTGCATATGCATTCATACAATAAATGTCCCAAATATTATAGGACAGGGATAATATTATAGTATTATGTAATGGGGCCTGGAACTGCAATCCACTTAAGAACATTTTATTAAACTCTGAAAAACTGCATTCATATTTTTCCTCATATATCATATTGTCAAAGGTAATGCTGGTAATTTAAACGCATTTTACATATATTGAATCTATTCCAAAAACAATTCTACAAAGAAAGATTATAGCGTAGTTTGGCACAAGTCCAAATGTTGGGTGGGTGAGAAATAAAGGATACGAAAAAGTGTGTCGCACTGATATATATCTAAAAAAAAAGAACTTCTTTGCTATGATTTAGTTCCGAATTTTTATCAGTCTTCTTCTTCTTCTGTTTTAGTTCTTCTTTCTCTTGGTGTATTTTAATCTTTATATCTTCTTCTTGATTCGGACTATTTTTCCTTTTCTAATATGTGTCGTTTCTTTTTTTATCTTCATTTAATTATTGTTTTTCTTCGCCATTTTAATCTACATTCATTCTACCTTTATTTCTTTCCTTAATTCATTTTCCTTTCTCCTAATATGCTTCTCTCTCTTTTTTCTTTTTAGTTCTATATTTCCTTTCTATTCATGTCACTCTTCTTTCTTTCTTTCTTTCTTTCTTTCTTTCTTTCTTATGTAATTTTTGATATCAATTTCTTTTTTTTTGTTAATTGGGCTCTTCTTCTTCTTCTTCTTCTTCTTCTTCTTCTTCTTCTTCTTCTCGAGACGTCTTTACTCATTATTTGTCCTTATGCCACTGTCTCTTTCTGATGTCAATTATAAGTGTCCTTTTTGTTTGTTTTCTATTTTCTCTTTGTTTTACGAGCCTAATAAATCCGACCTATTCTTTTTACCATAATTCTCTTATAGATCCTAATCTTCAGTATTTCGTCTCGGCAAATAATTATATCCGACGCTCTCTAGTTTACACCCCACTCTTCGTCTCATATATATGTAATTCCATCAATTAACAAAAAAAAAAAAACAAAAAAAAAAACATTGCTCATGCCCAATTAAGTTTTTCTAGAGTAAGAAACGAGTTACACAGAGGTTTTATGCTTTCTCATTCAGTTACCTATGATTCTAATTTATATGAAAACAAATTGTAGGATTAGAATGACAGGTGGCTCGATATGTGAAAGGCATTCTCTCTTTGATATCACCCACAATTTTGACACCATACGAAAATGATATTTGCGGTATGTAAGTATTTCTTTATCCGACTTGGCCTCACAATCCACACAGGAACAGTGAATGCATTACCCACAAAAATCTAAAAGATAATTTCTCCTTTTAAGCGAACTTATCAAAACAAAACACATTTGACCCACTAGATTTATTACAAACGCATGCGTGTTTCTCTTATATGGCAGTGAATGCTGGGCAATATCTTAACAAAAGAAGATAAAACTAAAGCCAACAGAAAAGTGGTTCTACAGAAGGATACTGAGAATACCATGGATGGAGCAAATAACGAGGAAGTCATAATAAATAAAATGGGAAGAAGAAGAACACTAATGCACAGAATCAGGAAGAGACAGCTGAATTGTTTAAATGCCCATTGCAGAAGGGGTGAGGCTTGGAAAAATTAAACCTCACATGGCATATTGATAGCAAGAGAGATAGGGATGGGCAGCAACCCGACGAGCTTGTGTGAAGGGATGTCGGAACGGGACAGGGAGCTTAGCGGAGGGAAGAAAACTACTAAGTGATACAGGGAATATGAAGTTTTGGAACGTCCACGTCCTGAAGGGACACGGCACATAGAAGAAAAGAAGATTTTTTTTATCACTTCAGAAAACTTTAACTAAAGACTATATATGAACATATAAGAACTTCAAACCATTTTAAATATATATTTTATCAAAATATATATTATGAGTGTAATATCTAGCTACTCGGATGATACCAGAATAGTTAAGAACTCACTGTTCTTGAGAGAATCCTGGTGGAGGGTTGATCCTCAGCTTCAAGTGCAGATCCACGCCTCTCATGGTGTCAGTGGCTTGTCCTGACAGCTAAGCACGTGATCCGCCGAACTGTGAGTAGGATGTGCACGCGTTAGAAAAACTGAGGATGGATATAGAAAGATGCACCCCTGAGAGAATTGAGTCTTTGACATCCAGACGAGAATGTAGAATCCACGTTCGGGGAGAGTCCCGAAGCCACATACTCACAAGCCAACAGTAATTGACGAAGTTCGGAGTTGAACAACATGTAATGCTACATATGAGACGTTTTGTTTTAATTTTTTTTTTTTTTTTTTTTACGACACAATAATGCAAAGATTATGTTTTGAATCCATAGCTTGTTTTTTTTTTTTCATCGTCTGATATAAGAAAGAATGTATGGTTGTCAGCAAATGAAACAACGCAAGATGTGAATTACGAATTTAAAACACCAAAATCGGATCTAGATAAATTGCCCGAAATCAATTGCTCGAAAAATAATTTATCGAACTATCAATTGCTCGAAAGGCAGATTGCTCGAAACCTGTGGTTAAAAAAAAATCAAACTACATTGTTTCTAATATTTACTATAAGATAAAATAATAATAAAATTATTGTTGTTAACTGAACAGTTAAAATTAAAGAACTAGTACATTTATATTGCAGGTCTTATTTTTTTCTATATTTTAAAATAAATTTTGGCTGTTTTGGATTTTTTTATAGCATATCAACCTCAGTGGGTCATTTAATGCCATCAAAATTTTTTAAATAGATTCATAGCGATAGTTTGGTAAAAAAGGTGTGTATGTATACATATATATTTGAGTCATTTTTCAATTACTTATATTTTTGAGTACAATAACATGTATTGCTGGTATTTTTTTTTCAAAAACCTATTGCTGGTAATAGTTTGTTTTTTTTCAAAAATTAATTTCTGTTAAGAATGTTTTTCAAAGTATTTCTGGTATTAAAACCTATTTTTACACTTTTATAATGCTTTTTTCCCCAGTTTCGGGGTTAACTATTTGCCCATAGGCCGGGACCCTAACAGGTGCTACCACCCCAGGCCAGAGTGGACCTGGGAACACCAGCAATTAAGAGGCGGTTCCACGCTCCTGAAAACCTTATCAGAGGCCTTGATGTTGGATATAATTTATTGTCTTACCCTAGACATTGGCGGGGGGGGATCTTACCCCTCTGCAAAGGTACAGTCAGTGTATTCTACAGCCCCAGCAGACAGGGCGGAATTTAAAATAAAGGATACATTTTTATTATTACTGTTATTCTTCGTGATTTAAAAAATAAAAAAATATAACTATTGTTGCTAAAATTTACTTATTTATTTAGTATGAAATATTATATGCAACACTTCTTAAATATTCTTCAATATTGTTTGTTGTGTCATTGTGTGTTGAGCCAGCCAAGAGAGATAGTCCTAGAAGACTGGCTGCTAAAGTTGAGTTTTGTGGCTGCTTTTATATCCAGCTCCGTTGACGTGTTGTGAGACAGCGCAGTTTACGTGGAAATTACTTCGAGAAATCTGCCTTTCGAGCAATTGATAGTTCAAGAAATTATTTCCGAGCAATCGATTTCGAGCAATTTACTGTCGAGCAATTGATTTCAAGAAATTTATCTAGATCCACACAATTCAGCTTGTGGCCAGACAGTAAGAAATATTAGCTCTCACGATACAGATAACAATTTCAATTATATCCAAATTATGTGTGTATATGAATATGCATTCAGGGTGCCTCGACGTGGTTAGTAAGCGTGTCTTGCTAAATCAATTCACGACTGAGTAATGAGTTCGATCTTCACTGGGTACCCCATACTTTCGCCATTGTGCCACATCTAAACCGCGCTTAGAAAATCACTACACATTTTCGTTCTGTATGCATACTTTATGTCAGGGATAGACCTAGAAAATTTTTTAATTTAATTTATTAATTTAATAATAAAATGTTCAATAAGATTTCAAATATCTGATTTCATATGATTTGAAAAAATCAATTTTTTGTCTTCCCATCTATGGCTTTATGGTTCAACCCAGGTAAGCATTATCCAGAGTGTGTGTGAAGGGAATATATTATTTCAACGTCTTATTTTAATCAGGAAAATAGTCAGTAGTATTGTAGGTTAATTCAATACCAACAATAGACAATCCAGTGATGAGTATTAACAATTAAGTGAATACTGTGAGACAAGTCTGATGACAATAGATATGGTTGCTATGGGAAAGAAAGGAGAAGCACACGTACAGAGAGTAGCCTTGCCACCGTGTGTTGAGCCAATCAAGAGAGATAGTCCTAGAAGATTGACTGCTAAAGTTGAGTTTTGTGGCTGCTTTTATATCCAGCTCCGTTGACGTGTCACGAGACGGCGCAGTTTACGTGGAAATTACTTCGAGCAATCTGCCTTTCGAGCAATTGATAGTTCGAGAAATTGATTTCAAGCAATCGATTTCGAGCAATTTATCGTCGAGCAATTTATCGGATACGCACCAAAATCAACCAAGTACAAAAATGTTAATATCTAAGTAGTATTTTACCAGACGATGGGGAATGGGACACCGAAATCCGAAGTCACATTGAATTAGCGAAATGTTCTTTTCTAGAAACTAAGTAAGGTATTATGAAACAGGAAAATTTCGTTGGAATCAATGATCATAGTGCTGAAACCTATATGTATTACTGGTGAAAGCTGGATAACCTCCTTGCAGATGAAGAAAACACTTGAGGCAAATAAAGTGTTTCTACAAAAGGATATTGAGAGTACCATCGACTGAACATTTGATTAAGGAGGAAATCTTAAGGAAAATGGAAACAATAATGAAGTTAATACTTAGAATCAGAAAGAGATAGTTGAAAATTTTACAACATATAACGAGGACAAATCGCCTAGAGAATCTGACACTCACAAGGACATGCTAAATTCAAGAGTGGCACAAGAAAGATCTCGGAAAGTCAAACATTACTAAGAGCTTCAAAGAAAGTTGTGGAGAGACATGATCGCCCATGTCCTGAAGTGAAAAGGCACATAGAAAGTACTTGATTGCCAATCATCATCATCATCATCATCATCTTCTTCTTCTTCTTTTTTTTTCTTCTTCTTCTTCTTCTTCTTCTTTATACCAAGTTTCATATCAGTTTTTTTTTTCTTTTCCTCTCACTTTTCTGTTCTTATTCATGAAACCTTAGCTTTATCTCAACAAACTTTGGGAGAAGCTTACACGTCATGTAATGGTTAACAAGCCTGCCTCGCTAGATCAATTATGACTGAATAGTGAGCTCTTCACACTTTCGGCCTTGTGCCACATCTAAGCTACTATTAGAAAATCATTGCGTACTTCGACATGATGTAATGGTCAGCAAACTTGTATCGCTAGGTCAATTACGACCGCATAGTAAGTTCAGCCTCACTAGGTGCCCCATACTTTCGGCCTTGTGCCATAATTAAACTTATTTCCCTCGCTATATTTGGGCATTTCAACACGGTGTCTTGTCTCGTTAGGACATTTTTTTCTTTGAATATTACTTATGCATTCTTTTAATACTAAGACGTCTTAGAGATATCCTGCGCAGAAACAAAATGGAAGACTTAGTCTAAATATGACAGTTGTTAATGACTTGCTCATAAATAGGTGATATGATAAGGCAGTTAACCCTCATAGAACTTGGAGATGCTTGTTCGATTTTATACAGTTAGATACGTTTTTATTTGTGTTAGAACCTTTGTAATTAGTAAACAGAGTTGCAATAAATAAACAGCCTAACTCCAAG